ATTCTGTTACACCAAATACACAAAATAATGATCTTTAAAAAAGCATCATATGACCCCTTTAATTAATGTCTTGATTAAACCAAGGATATTTCATATGGGTATATTTTACAATCTCATGAACTTTTTGAAGCGTCAACGTTTGGGTGGAATAGAGTTTTAAATGGAGGGACAGAAATCACTCAGCTTTCATTCAAAATATCTCAAGTTACATTCAAAGATGAACGGCATCCCTTTAAGGAGTGAGATGAAGACATATTAGGACATCACATACCTTTTGAGCTACGGCAGAGAACTTGAGGACGTTGACCGTCTCATCATGCATGGAGGCGCACTGGTTAATGTTTACAATCATACAGGCTTTGCCCCGGCCGGTAAAGTATCCCTGCAGATAGTGAGTGAGTTTACTCTCTCTGAATGGAACGTGCTGTCTGAAAAGACAAAATAAGAGGTGTTTAAAGGACAAAGGAAAGGAAGAAGAAAAAAAAAAAATATATATATATATATATATATAAGATTTATATACCTGGCCTGCTGGTTATTTCTGAGCGCACTGATGCATTTTCCCAGGCTGAGTAGAGAGGTGTTGATGTTTCCTGCCTCTTTCAGCCGTTCCCCTTTATTTTGTGTTTTAGCACATCGCTCAGATCCGGCCAGATCACACAGCGCCAGCCTTGAACCAGAGTAAATACTTTAACAAACCATTCTGAAACACAACACAAACATACTGCAGAGAAGTCAGATCAGTATTCACAGACTCACTCGCTGACTGACTCCACTCTGGGTATTCCCACATCTTCCACCTTCAGGATCCGGACAGAGAAAATACTGTGGCTAAAAATCAGGCAAAGAGGACATGAACTCAGAATAACACATGCATACAACACCCACTGCGTTAAAATGGATAAACAACAGGAAGTTACAGAATTTGTGTAGTGTACCTCCTGCTGGAGAGAATGTTGAGTTTAGTGCTGGAGATGCTCTGGTTCTTTTTGCCCAGTTTCATCACTTTCAAGGCTTCATCAACACTGCTCACCTGCACCCATCTCAGATCTAGAAAATTAACAAAATTAACTGTTATGAGCAAAGACACAATCTGACAGACACAGCACATCAGTTTCCTTAAAACAACTGACTGAATCACCCTTAACACATGGAAATGCTATTATCGCTACATCTTTTTTCTTATTGCTCTAGCACCAGCACCTGGCCAGTTTTAGCTATTACACATTATTCCAGGCAAAAAACAAAACAGAAGACATTTCAATGATTACAAATGACATATAATTGCTCTTTGGAATGATTTAATGAAGAAATATTGCAGTGTAATCTCACTCTTCTCGCTCAAACAGCATATGGTTCTAGGGTCATGGGTTAGATTCTCAGGGAACACATGAACTGATAAAATGCATAACTTGAACATCTCTTTGGATAAAATCATCTGTCAAATGCATAAAGGAGAAATATATATGAAAATGCACCCTTACAACATGCATTATTTCTGTTGTTATATGCAAAACTTTATTACAGCAGGCCAGGGTTCAACTTTGGCTTGGATGAACCATCAGCTACATGGAAACATTGTAACGATTTAATGACAAATATATTACAGAAACAGATGCTACTTTACCTTTGATGAATGAGTTCCCTTTGACATCCTGACAAAGACGGAGGTTGGTTCTTCGTGAAGCATTGTTTGAATGCTGTTCTAGCAAGTCGTGGATGTTCTCATTGTAGATCTCGCAGAATGAGACCCAAATTGAAAACTTGGTGTGTATGTCCATATCCACAACCAAACTCCTCTCATTCACTGCAGAGCTTATATCACATAAAGTGGAACCATCTAACAGGGAACCAAAAAGTTATGTGTCAGCCAGACAAACAACATAAACAGACTGCCAAGCACAACCTTAGAGAGGTGTAACTAACAAAAAAAAAAAAATTCTCTTTACCTTCAAGATCAGACTTCGAGCTATGGCAAGACGTACTCTTCGGTGCATCAGTCTAAAGAGAAGACAAAAGACTAATTGAGTCAAATGAAACACCCCTGAAAAACAGAGGTTGTTCAACTCACTCTGCCATTACAGTACCTCTTTAAAAAGCTTGAGCAGGTTGCGTTTGCCAGCTGCTTCCTCGTTTTGCTGCTCTTTGGTGAGCCTGATGAAATCCCAGCACCTCTGGGGTTTTAGGCACATCTGGTTGAAGATGCGACCATCCAGACTACTGAAGATCATGTTGAGGGAACGAGGCAAGATGCCTGGATCAGTATCTGGACCTAATACATTAAAACACAATCAGGACATAAACCTTGAATATGAGTATTTTGCAAAAGCAAATCACAAATTGTGAACAATTCATTCATGCATGCTTTGTTTAAATATTTTTTGTGACCTTGTAAGTACTAATCAAAATGCCATAACACACATTCAGATCTGCCTCTATTCAATTAACAACCAATGGATAGAAGCATTGGATAGAATGAATTGTCCCTGCCCTTCTTTTTATTTTTGATACAACATTTTGAACATGATTCGACGCTCCTTCTGTTTGCTTCTTCTGCATTCACACAGACACTATTTTACAAGGTTGGTCTGATCAAAACTGACCTTAATTTACTGACCCTACTTTACATTCCTGACCTTTACTGTGAAAGATTAATTAAGTGCACTCTACTTCAAAGAAAAAAAATCTTTGTAATCTTTCATTTAAATATAGCAACTTTTTGCCTCTTGTTTTAACTTGCTCAAATTAAAATGGGTTTTGGAGCATTAACACATTGACTTTTAAGCTCTATTGACAACATTTGTGACATTATGTCAATTACAACAGAAAATAATTCAGTCTATCAATACAATAAGATAAAAAATACAAACCTAAAAAAGTGAAGGTCTTCCCAGCATTAGTAACACCGTATGTAAACACCAGAGAATTTTGTCCCTCTAGCACATCCCTCACAAGACCCTTCACTGTGCCATCAAACATCTCCTCCTGTGTAGTGTCTGGACCATAAACCTACAAATACCACAATGTTAATAACACCTTGTGAATAATCTGTCATACAAGACCAAGTTATAAGCATGACTCAAGAGAGTGCACAACATTTGACCTCAAACAGTATTTCCAAAGACAAATTTGAAGATTTTTCAGGGTGGTCAAAGAGGGAAAACTACTGCCTCACATGATCAGTCACGATCTAGATCAGGGGTGTACAAACTCGGTCCTGGAGGGCCGGTGTCCTGCACAGTTTAGCTCCAACTTGCCTCAACACACCTGCCTTCAAGTTTCTAGTATGCCTAGTAAGAGCTTGATTAGCTGGTTCAGGTGTGTTTAATTGGGGTTG